TCTATCATTTTTGTTTGATCCATATTTGCTTGTATTTGTGACTTAGAATATTCATCAAATTTTGGTTGTAATTGAATTAAAAGATCTTTATTCTTTTGAATGAAGATAGATAATTCTTTTTCAATAGACTCTTTTAAAGTATAATCATCCTATAATTAATGAATATTAATTATTATTATTTGTATTATTTTTTTTTCTTTATTTTATATTCAATAACAAACAACAGAATGTGAGGTTAATACTACAATAATATAATGTTCTATTTGTGCAGAATATAAATCCTCTAATACTTCTACTGTTTTTCCTCTTCTTGATATTATAGATCTTTTTGATAATGTTAATTTATGAAATGATGGTTGATTTCCTTCTTTTACAAAACTTTTAGAAAATGAATGAAGTGATAATGCTAATCGTTGTAATAATTCATAATTAATTTCATTATCAATTTCCCATTTTATATTATTTATATAAAGACAAGTATTTGATTGACATTCACCAATAATAATAATATGCTTTTCAATTGATTGTTGAATAATAGTAGCCATTTTATTAATTTTAATTTTAGTTCATTTCTTTCTTTTTTCTTTTCAAAAATTCTTTATTAAATTCCATTCTTTTTGGTTCAGTTGAATTTCCAAACAATGTGGTGTATCATCTTCTTATTTTTAATTCAATATGTTAATTCTCTTCATCCATTAATGAAACAAAACTTAACTAAAGAAGATGTTTTAAAATATAGAACTAGTGAATATTCTCCAAAGCAATTTAATGGAACATTACTAACTTATATTACTCCATGGAATTTGTATGGACTTAATTTACTTGAAAAAAATAAACATAAAATTGATATTGTTTCACCAGTTCTTTTTACTATTCAAAGTTATAATGGAAAAAATGAAATTATTGGAGAAGATGAATTACAAATTGTTGGATATCCCCGATATACATTTAATAGTATTACAGGTGATCTTAAAAATGTTGGAAAATTAATCAAAGAACATTGTATAAAACATTCATCAATTTGTAATGGAATAATGATTGATGGTATATATACTTTATACCAATATTATAAAAAAGAAATGGGGAAACAATTAGTATCAATGCTTGAAGAGTTAAAAAAGTTTAAAATTGTTATTGCAATTCCACCGATGTTTATTTTCACTGAACATGAAATAGAATTAACAAAAAAATATATTGAATTATATGTTGTAATGACATATGATTATTTTTATAGAGGAGGAATTTATAACTCTCCAATATCTTTTATTGATTCTTCAATGAAATACATCAAAGCTAAAGGTCCACAATTTGCTATTGGAATTAATTTTTATGGTTATGCTCATTGTAAAAATAAACAACCAGTTGTTGTTGATAGAAAAACATATTACAATTGGGTTAAACTATCAACTGGACCATTTAAATGGAATGAACCTGCAAAAGAACATACATTTATTGCACAAGATTGTATAATTGATTATCCAACATTAGAATATATTAAAGTGAGAATAAATTATGCAATAAAAAATAACTTTAGTATTGGTATTTGGGAATTAGGACAAGGTTTAGATTACTTTATGGATATCTTTTAAACTAAATAATAATTAAGTTTTTAATACTTTTATTCATTCCCAACAAAAGGGGTAATTCAAAATAAAATAACGTATTGATTTAAGTTGTAAATATGAATCAATTAAATGTACTTCTAAATATTAAAATGTATTTAATTTTAATTGATATATAATATTTATATAACTAACAACATGAGTCTTTTTGATTCGGTGAATTTTGACTATTTTGTTTAATTTGATTTAAATTAATTTGAGTAATTTCAACTGTACTTTGTTTGGTAGAATTATTAATTAAAACATCTTCACTTAATCTAATAAATGCATTTTCAACATTTGACGCATCTTTTGCACTTACAAAAAATGATGGAATATTTTTCTTTTTACACCATGTGTCTAATCTATTTGATGTTACTTGCCATTCTATTGGATCTAAATCACTTTTATTTGCTACTGCAACAAATGGAACATTATATCCAATATGATTTATTATATCACTCATCCAACTTTCAAAACTATTAAATGATTCTATTGATGTCACGGAACAAACTAATACACACCCATCAGTTCCTCTAAAAAAACTTTCACTAATACATCGAAATCGTTCAGTTCCACTTGGGTCCCATATTTGTAAAGATACTAATTGATCTTTAATTGATATTACTTTAGTTGATAAATCAACTCCAATTGTTGATTTATATTCACTAGAATATTTCCTATTAACAAACTGATTAATTAATGATGTCTTTCCAACAAATGAATCTCCAAGAACGATAATTTTAAGGGTTATTCTTTCTGTCATATTTCTGTTTAATCTACTAATCTATTTCTTTTTTGTTTTTTTTTTCTTTTTTAGTTCTTTGTTTTATATACCATTTTATTCGTTTCTTCTTTAAATCACTCAATTTTTATAGTTTTTTTTGAATAAATACTTCATATTTTCTTCACAAAAAATAAATTACTTAAAATAAAAACTTTCATTTTTTTGTTTATAATATTAATTCTCTTGGTTATAGTAAAAACTCTTCATTTGTTGTATTAAATAGTATATTAAATATATAAGGTAATTGTTATTCTTATAATAAAACATTATTACTGAGTCATTTTCCTTTAATTAAATAATAGTTTTATTATAATGTTTTATATAATGATTTACTATTGTTTCAATTAAATTTACTTAAAAAAGTACTATCATTAATCAAATTCTTTTAATCAAATAAAGTTCATAATCTGACAGTTTATAACCAAACAGGTATTTTTATTTTACAGAGTGCTAATAATAATTATAAAGATTATATAAAGATTAAAGCAATAAACAAACACTTTTACTTTTCTAATGTTCTTTACAAACTCTTTTTCAAACAAAAATAAAAAATGAAATAAAAGAACTTAATTTGATTAACAACATTTAAATGAGTAATAAAATTAATGTTTGTATAAAGAAAAAAACAAAAAAAACATCTTGTTTTACAAATGAAGAAGACACTTCTCAACAAAAAAGAGAAATATATTCAAAACCAATTAAAAATATTCAGTTTGCTTTTCTCTTATTTATAAAAAAAACTATTTAATAAAAGGATTGTTTCATTTCTTTTAGAAAAGATGAATTAACACCACCTAAACTAAATAAAACTATTAGTCCTATTCCTCTTCCTCCTTCTGTTAATGGTAAATCAGTTTTAGAACAAATGAAAGAAAAACAAAATCAATACAATCATTCCCCATCAATAACTTTTACCGAAAGATATAGTTCATTACCATCAGAAGTTAGTGTTGAAGAATATGATAAAATTCCAATAGAAAATTTTGGAATAGCAATGTTAAAAGGAATGGGATGGAAAGAATAAAATGAAATAAATAATATCAAAGTTAACATTATGATATTTAAAGAATTATTAAATTATTCATTCATTTTTAATCTTTTTAATTAATTTTTGGCAAGAATCAAAACATGGACTGTCTGAATCACAAGTAAGAAGAACACATGTGGTTGGATGAGTTGATCCTGCAACTTTTCCAAGTGCTTCTCTTGTTTTAACATAAATATAAGCAATTCCTTTTTCTTTCATATAACTAGGAATATGTGAAATAATATCAAGTGGAGTAACGTCTCCAGCAAGAACACATAACCAATTTTTCATTTTTTCTGCATCCTTCTCTTTTTTAACAGTTTTCATTGTATCTTTAATTCCTCGTTTAATACATTTAGTTTCAACAGCTTTCTTAATAAGTTTATGAAGTCTTTTTTCTACATTATCACTTGCTAATGGTGTAGCAATTGGGAGTAAATGAATGTGGTTATCATTACTTTCACTTGATGACATTTGAAGGGTTTTGTGTTTTTTAGTTCATTCTTTTTGATTCTTTTCTTATTTTTGTTTATTAATATCTTTTGCTATTTATTTTTACTATTTCCTCTTTTTTAGTTTTATTTAACAAAAATTATGAACAAACAACTGTCTAGAAACTAAGAAAATAAATATGAGTTTCTTTATTAATTTGACTCTTTCTATTCTTATTCCTTTTTTGGCAGTGATAAAAGGTTCTTTAACTCTTGATGGTGCTATAGTTGCTGGAATTACTGGACTCATCCATTTAAGCACTGGCATATCTCCAGCATTGTATATTATGGCATTTTTCATTACTTCATCCATTTTAACCAAAGTTGGAATGAATAAGAAAAGAATGTTAGAAGAAAAGTATGTTGAGGGTTTGTTATGGTTAATCAATTAGATTTAAAATGAACATTCACTTATTTGTGAAGAATCAAAAAGATCATCAATTCAAGTTTTATGTAATAGTTTACTTGCTACACTAAGTTGTATTATGCTATTACTTACTGGTGCACAAAATGGAGCTAGTGCATGTTTTGGATTATCTTCATTTCAAATTTTCTTGTATGGAATTATTCCTGGATTTTATTCTTGTACCAATGGAGATACATGGTCTTCTGAAGTTGGGATTTTGAGTAAAACACAACCATTTCATATCATTACATTCAAACAAGTTCCAGCTGGTACTAACGGTGGTGTAAGTTCTCTTGGACTTATTTCTGGGTTTGGTGGATCGCTCTTGATTGGATTGCTTGGAGGATTGGTATTTTTGATGAATTGTCCATTTGACATAACTCTCTTTGTATTAGTTTCTTCTTCTATTACGATTAGTGGAGTATTAGGAAATTTGTTAGATAGTATTCTTGGAGGAACACTACAATACTCTGGTTGGGATGAAAAACGAAAGTGTGTTGTACGTAAATCTGGAGATAATGTAATAAGAATTTCTGGGGTTGATGTTTTAAGTAATTCAGCTATTAACTTTATAACATCTTCAATTTCTGGTATTATTTGTGGATGTCTTTTCCTCTATCTTCATTCTATTTATTAAATCCTCTAAAAGAATGCATGAATTTTCTTAGTGAAAAAGAATTTACTTAATTTAATCGGTTTTGATTTGTTTTTCATTTGTATCTTTTGGTTGGGAATTTTCATTTATTTCTTGTTCCTCTTGATGAGACTCTTTCTTTTTGTTTTTAAGAGTATAATAGATGGACCTTAAAACTAACAGAATGGTTGGAAGGTTGGATTTTACTTGATTTTCTAATAAATAATTTCTTTTTTGAATGACAATATCTATTGAATTGCCAATTCCTAGAGCAAAAATTGCTAATGATAACGCTAACACATTATATGGCATAGAGAAATCAGGAGCTGGAAGTCCTACTAACAAGTTGTTACTTATGATAATTTCTTGTGTTGATAATATACATTCAACAGATGGAACATCCCATCCACGTTGAGGTTCTTGAGAATGTAATGATCTATGTTGGAAGACATAAGACACATCTACCTCAATATTCAATGTTGAAAGTGATGGTATTTGAATTTTAATTGGAATACTTACAGCACTAGATTTTTGAGTAGCTTTGTGAGGAAGAACAGAGTGACAAGGCACAGTCTTATGATTAATAAAACATTTTAACTTCTTTGGATTGAGGAAATTTGGAATTGAAATAACTAATGAAGCGGTTAGTGAAGTTTTTTCTTTATTTACCAATTCATAACGTAGAGTACCATCACTAATTGAGTCTGGTGAAGGTTTAGAAACATAGTAATAACGAGAGTTAATAGAACTTACTGAGTCTTGATTAGAGTCATTCCACGAAAGAGTAAGATTTTTTTTACAATCAAATGTTTGAGGAGTTGTAATTGGTTTACCATTAACAGTTAAACCAACAAACCCATCAACCAAAACAGTACCAGTACAATGTGTTTTGTATACATCAAAGATGTTGTGAGTATGATCAAAAGATTTTCTAACTAATAAAATATCTGCAATAAATTCATCTGGTGATTGTCTGACTTTGAAGGAGTATAATTCACTTTTTAAAATTTCACTATTGAGAAGTTCAGAATGGTCCATTTTAGGGATTAATGATTTAATCCTAATAACATTTTCGAGACAACTCCAATCTGAAGGTGCAGAAATATAATGGGTTACATTCATTTTATGGATTAAGTTGTGAACATTAGTTGGTTGAACCGATAACCCTTGATAAGCAACATTTTGAAGTAATGTTGAAAGTGCTAAATAATATTCTTTTGTATTTAAATCAGATGGTGCTTGAAGAGCTATGAAAGAACCACTTGAAAGAGCATAAGGTGCTTTACCATATTGAGTTTTCCAATTTCCACGAGTCATAACCACTTCACTGATAGAGACATTATAGTGTTTGTTCAGATAATATGTTGCAGGCAAATCATCTCCATCAGGATAGTTTAATATTCCTTGTTGATAGTGTTTCCATTTAAATTGAAGATGATGAAGTACATTACCATTTGGTAATATTTTAACTTCCAATTGTGAAGATGCTAAACAAGTAGATATAATGAAAAGAAACAAAACAAAGTTCATTGTATTAGACTCAATTTTGTTTTTTTAGATTTTTAAAAGACTTTTGTTTTTTTTTTTATTTCATCTTTTAAATTACAAAAAGATATTTCTTATGAGATATTATCTTCTCTTTTTGTCATTAATATTCTCTTATGTTAAATCACAAAGTAACGAAGAATGTAATAGAATAAAGAATTGTTATGAATGTACAATTATTGGTTGTGAGTGGTGTAATAATCAATGTTCATTAACATTTTCTGATTGTTCCCCATCAATTAATCAACCATCAAAATGTGTTGATTGTTCATTAAAAACAAATTGTATGACATGTGCTAATAGTGGATGTTATTGGTGCACACCTTCAAATGAATGTCAGGCAATCCCAACGTGTGTTAAAAATACAATAACATCTCCAGGAAAATGTCCTTCTTCAAGTTCATTTTCTTCACAAAACACAAATATTATTTCATTAACTATCATCTTTACTCTTGTTATTGTTATTATATTAGGATATTCCATTTTTATATGTTTCAAAATAAGACATCCAACACGTCAACAATTTATTCCAGGAATGTTATCTCCATATCCCCCACCACCAGTTGATAATGAAGCAATTGTTCAATCAGATCTTAATATTCAATTAGTAAAACGTCAAAATGAAGAAGAATAACATAAACATATTTTTATGGTTTAAAAATCTATTTTTAAAGAAGAAAGTAAAAATAGAATAAAATAAAAAAAAAGGAAAATTAATTATTTAAAATAAATTGATGTTAGTTATAAAAATAATCAAAAAAAAAGAAAAAAACTACAAAAACAAGAAAGAGAAAATCAGAAAAAGATATAAAGAACTTCAAAAGATATAGTTTGTATTACAAGAAAAATGAGTATGTCCAATTCAGAATCAATAATTAATCCATCACAATGTATCGGACAAAATTTCCAACTTTCTGACTATCCTTCTATGATGACTATTTATAGTGCTGTAAGTAATTTAACAACATTAACCGATGATTGTATCGACTCAGGAAGTATGGCAGCACAACAAATCCAAGGTACAGAAAGTTCTTCTCATTTTGCACATTATAGTGAGTCTTCTTTAATGGCTACTGACTGTTCATCTCTAATGGATAGACAAAGTTCTAAATTGTCAAATAATCAAAATATTTTAGTTGAAGAGAATGAAAGTATTCCACAACTCGAAACAATTCCAGAAAATAGTGTTGTTCTTCCAGAAACTGTTGTTGAAGGAATAAAAGAACCAGCTACTCCAAAACAAGGTAAAAAGAAAAGAAGAGATAAACAAGGTGTTGTTTTAGTAAAAGATTCTAAAGTTCCAAAAGAAAAACATAAAAAGAGAGGAAAGAAGTAACGTATAATGTATTATGGTATAATTCAATTGTTTTGTTGAAACTCATTATATTTTATTTATTTATCTTCTTATTATTTTTTGACTTTTTATTTATCACAAATTAAATTATGAAATGAAAAGACATTTACTTAAAACCTAAATTACTTTATCAAATAAATTAAATTAATGCTTAAATTTTGTCTATTAATTGGACTATCTATTGCTTCTCAAGGAATAATGGATTATTACAATATCACTCCTTTTCTATTTAGCCTAAAAGAAAATTCTACTTTTGTTATTAATCTTGAGAGAAATGGAAGTTCTCAAAATCCTTTTGTGTCTTATTCACATAATTTGTCAATGATTGTATTTTATTTATGCTCAGTAGTATTTTGTCATTCATGTTTTATTTGGTATGAACCTTTTTATTCAACTACATTAATTACTTTTTTGACTATAATATATTTCTGTATGATTCATAAACTTGTTCATTTATTTGATAATACTCCTATAATTCCTATTGGTTTGTTTATCCTTAATTTATGGTATGTGATGTGCTTTGCTACTAACCAAAACAATTCAGTTTCATTGTTTCTACATATGGAAAATGGAATATTATCATTATTAAGTTTTTTTGCATTAAAAGTTTCAAGAATTGATAGGATTATTGGATTAACCTTTTTAATTGGAGAGATTCTAATTACTTTAATATGTTATTCTCTTGGAAAAAGAAAGGTTAACAAATTCCGTATTTCTATGTATGGTTCTAAACCATGTGAATTATCTTTATTTAGATTAATAGGATTTGTTCAAATTCAATGTGTTAATATTATTTTTATTATTTTGAATGGGATTTGTTGTATATTTTCATTATTTACTGAAAAATTAGCATTACAATACTTTCATATTCTTGTTAATTTTTTATTTATTGGGTTTATACTCTCAATAATTAAATACTTCAATAGAGATGGAATGATAGAGTCTGAACTAACAAAAATTCAATTGGTTAATGGAAGGTAATAAAGGATAATTAAAAAAAATTTAATTAAGTGAAATGACTTAAAGAAGATGAACCTTTTATAAATTAGTCATATCTAGAATGAAAACATATCATTTAATTGTAATTGTATTAATTTATTTTCATCAGTAGAAGCTTGTGGTTTATCTTTAATATTAGCTACTTCATTTTTCAATCTATTTAATGCAACAATGTTTACAGGTGGTTCAATTTTTGCGATAATAGCAAATATTTGGCTAAAAGAAATATTTGGACAGATTGAGTTGACTAAGTCTTGTGCTGAAATAACTTCTAATGAAACAACTGCTAAATCACATAATGACTTTAGTAAAACAAAATCCTCTTCATAACTATCATTTGAATAATCCCTAAGTAATTCACAAAATGCAGCAATTTGACATTTAATATAAAAGGTTATCTCTGCTGCAATACTTTTTTGTTTCATTAAATTATTAAAAACTAATCTATCATAATGAATCACAAACATTTTACAGAAATTAGAAACAATAGTAAGACTTAATTTATCTTTCTTCATAGAAGCAAGATATTCTTTTAATACTTCAAATGTTGCTTTTGGTCCAAGATTTGATTTTGAATCTGTAAAATATTTCATAATCATTGGTTGTAACTTATTTTCAATGTATTGGTATGTCATTAATAAACTTGAATTTAATTGTTTAAATAAATTATTAACAAATCGAGTATGAACATTTTTATCGCTTAAATTCTTTGATACAATTTCAGTATTAATTCTTTTAACTAATAATGCATTTACACCAATCCAATAAACATTTCTTTTTGGTGTTTCTAATGAAATAATTGAAATTGATTTTAACGATTGAACAATTTTATCAAGAAACTTTTGTTTTTCTGGTCGAATTGCCTTATTTTCACTTAATTTATCAAAAATAACATCTCCTGTTAATGGATGTTGTTTATCTGAAAATGTCATTTTACTTAAGAATATTTCTTCAATAATAAATTGATTTTCTTCTAAAGTAACATCCCCTTCTTCAACTCTATTTCTTTTTAATACTTGAACTTGATATGTTAAATCATCAATATCATTTAGTAATTTCTCTTTTTCTATTAATTGTTCATTAATGTCATCTTCTAATTGTTGTATTTCATCAACAACATCATCAAAATTAATTACAGTATCTTTAATAGTCATAGGCGTTGCATCTGTTAATATTTCTAAATCAAATTTAAGTCTTCCATTTGCAATAGGTAATTCAACTTCTTCTTTATTTTGACTTTCTAAATGAAGTGCTAGATTAAGTTCAATACTTCCAACTGCTTGTTTTTTACTTTTAAGTACTTGAATAAGTGTTATATGTAATGTTTTTTTTAAATATCTATACTTTTTTATGTCTCGTCGAATCTTTTCTTCAAATGAAAATTCTCCTAAACTTGCTTTCCCATCAACACAAATTGATCGTGGTAATATTCCACTTTCTTTTCCACATTTCCATTGAATATATAATGTTACTCCTGAAACTCCTTTTGCAGTTAATGTAATATTTTCAAGAGAAACTGCAATTTTCCATGTTTCAATACTTCTATTAGTCTTTTGTGACATTTATCATTTTCTCAATTCAGTTCTTTTTTCTGTTTTTGTTATTAGTTTTTTTATTAAAAATTTTTGTTTTGAGAAACAAAAAAAAATGGTTTAATAAAAAAATTATGAATTAATTACAAAATGTTGTTGGTCATATATTTAAATGTATTCAGCAAATAATTTACTATACTCATTATTTATTCTAATCATATAATTAATGTCATAATCCTTTTCTTCTGGTCTTCCTCTTTTTTCAATATTTTCCTTTTGTTTCAATGGATCACTACAATATAAAAGGAATAATGCACTTTTTGATTGTTTCCAGTATTCTTGACTCTGATATTTGACATATTCAAATATACCGTTAATAGTATATTTACAACTGTCTATTCGATTAATAATCATTTCATTAAATCTTGGAATACCATATGTAGTATAAAGGTCATCAACTCTAACTTTAAGGTCATTATATTCTTCTGTTGTCATTCTTCCTTGGAAATATGCCTCATTAGAAAATATGAAAATTGAATCAATTGGACTTCTTTCCATAATAACATATTTCATTTGTTTAGCTCTTTCTAATTGTTCTTTGAAACAATCAATAATAAATAATTGAAGTTCATACATAGACCCTTTTCCTTTTAATGTTTCTTCAAGCATTTTCTTTCCTGTACTTGGTTTAAAATCAATATATTCTTTAATAAAGATTCGTTCTTTTTTAGGAAGACTTCTTTTTAAATTATGAATAAGTGTAGACTTTCCTACTCCAACACCTCCTGTAATAACAATAAATTGTTGGTATTTCATAATACCGTTGAATGATTTTCTTAGTTCTGTTTCTAATTGTTAAATTTGAAGGGTTACATGTCATAGAATCTTCTTATCTCTTTTTTTCTCATTTTTTCTGTAAAAAAATTGGAAATTTTTCAAGGGTTTCTCTTTTTTTATTTTTTATTTGACTTTTTTCTTGAACTTTTCATCTCTTTTTTTTTTTCTTATGTACTAACAAAAAAGAAAAAACATAAAATGATAAAGAAAATGTTATTTAACCAAACAGTTTAAAAACGTTAAATGCAGAAAGAGTTGAGAAGGAAAGAACAAGAAGATAAGAACATATAAGAACTATTGCATACTTCTTGTTTAATTTACCGTTAATAGAAATGAATATTAAAGTAATTAATAACTGTACAATCAAATATGTTGTTGAAAAGAATAATGAATCAGTCATTACTATTTGTTGAGACTTAGGAAAATGAAGAATTGAACGAGCTAAAACACCACCTCCAAGTCCTATTAATAAATTAAAACAAGGTCCTCCATACGAAGCAATAATTCCCATTTCTGAATAACCTTGAGAACTAACAATTACATTTGAAACAAAATCACCAACTGAATTTCCCCAACATAATACAGTTAAACCAAGAATTGAAGAATCAATTTTCATAGCAACTCCAATTGATTGAAGAAGTGCAACTAATTCACTTGCGAATATATAAATGTATAAAACACTAATAACAAATCCATATAAATTGATAATAATAGAAGGGATTTGTGTTTCAGTGAAATGAATAATTAAAATAATTCCAATTGATAAAATAAAAGGAATAATGAAATATTTTAAAGGTAATTGAGAAACAATACAAATAGGTAAAGGAGATAAAGCAAAAGAAATAAGTAAATTTTTTCTATTATCAGAAATATGAGGAGTAGTAAATTCCATAATAAACCTAAAAGGAATTGATAATATTAATAATATTTTATTAAACCAATTAGTAAGTTTAATTTGTTCTAATATATTATATTGACTTGTAAATCCTTTATCTGAAGAAATATTATTATTTAAAGTAGTACATTCATTAGAAGAATTTAATTCTTCATCAATATTGTTTAATGTATTATCAATTAATTTAGTTTTATTTTCAGAGTCTAGTTGTTCAGAAATTTTAATTAAAGGTTTGTTTTTGGTTATATATCCAATGAAACAAACATATAAAATGTAAATAAGAATAAATATAATAGAATGTATTATTGATACACTTCCTGTTGTACAAATAAAATATACAAATAATAATGCAAGTATATAACAACTGATATTATGAATTAATGTTTCTGGCATTTTTATATCTTCTTTTCCTAATAAAACAATACTTGCTACTATAATACTACTTACAAAACATCCTGATCCTATCACTTCTGCTGTTGCTAATTCAACATCTCCTGTATTATAAATAGCTACAAATGTACTAAAAACATCAGGAGCTCCATTTCCAATTGCTAAAATTGTAATTCCAGCTAAATCAGCAGACATAGAAAGATGTTTACTGAGAATTGTTAATATTGGAACAAAATGATCTGATGAAGAAACTGATAATAAATAAAATATAATTATAATTCCAATTACCATACAAACAAGTACTATCCAATATGAATTATAACAATATAGTAATTCTAAATAATTAATTAAAAATGATACATCTTCACAGTTTTGAAGAATATAACTACATTGTCCTTCTTTTGGTAATACACATTCTCCATAAACATTTATAATACAAAATAATATAATATAAATTTTATTCATCTGTTTCATTCTTTTTTCTTTAACAAAATGTTTTATTAAAATTCAATATTTTTAAGTTCTTTTTTAGTTCTTCTTATTTTATTTTTTTTTTAATAACATTTTTTTAAAAAATTGTGTTATTATCTTCTTTATCCCAAAAACCAAAAACATATTAAAAACCCTTAGGGTTTTATTATAAAATCTCAAATAATTGTTAATTAGTATCATTAATTCATGTCTTTGACTGACCAAATTCATCATGCATGTCAACTTTCATTATCAGGTAATAATAATAGTTTAACACAAGCAAATGAAATGTTTAATGTGATGTTTAATAATCCAGAATTTGGTACAACAGCTATTAACATTCTTTCTAACACACAAGAGCCGTTAGTTGTTCAACAGATTGTTTCAATTAATTTCAAACATTATATCAAATTAATTTGGGAAAATTTAAACGAAGAACCAAAAGCAAAATTATGTGAATTATTAATGCAATTAATCATCCGATCCCCAGGTGTAGTACAAACCCAATTAATAGAAACACTAAGATTCATTTTAGTAATGGATTTTCCAGGTAAATGTGGAGGATTATTACAAATTATTCAATCATTAATTCAAAATCCAGAAATTATTTCAAATGAAATATCATTTAAAGGAGTTATGGCAAGTATTAATACATTTGCTAAATCATTTAGATTTCAAACAGAAAATTATGCTCCAATGATGCAATTTATAGAAATAATATTTCCTACATGTTTAAGAATATTAATTACAGCAATTCAAAATAGAATGTATGTTCATACAAGACTTTGTTTTAAATTATTTAAATACATTATTTATACTAAAGTTCCTTCATTCTTTAATAAAGAAACTATTGATTTATTTTATACTAATGCTATTGCATTTTTACAACAACCATTTACTTTTAATAATAACGATGAAAAAAATGCTCAATGTTCTTCTTTAATTGGACTTATTCGTGGAACTTCTTCATTTATTAGTCATAATACTAGTAAGGCATCTCGAGCTACTCAAACAGTTACATATTTTGTTGATAATATTGCAACACAATTTATTAATGCAATGCTTCCTCATTTAAATTTAGCAATACCAAGTAAATTAATGTTTTATGAAATTTCATTATTATCACATTGTTTAAAAACAAGTAAATTGTCTAAAGTTATTCTTCAATTCTTCCCTGTTTTATTTGAAAAAATTATATTTAGACAAATTATGGTTACTCCTAATGAATTAGAAGAAATGAAAACTGCTCCTGTTGATTATCTTAGAAATAGAGATGAAGATGACGACTTTGGTTCTATTGATGGAAGAACTGCATCAATTAACTTTATAAGAGCAACAATACAATATAGAGCAAAAACATTCCTTCCATATTATATTCAACCATTATTAAGTCTTATTCCTGTTGATCAAAGTGGTCTTGAAAAAGATCCAATAATTATTGATTGTGCATGTTTTATTATGGGAAAAATTTGTGGTCAATTTGTTATTTCAAAAGATTATGCTAAGTATGTACCAAGTATTTTAAGTGTTACAGTTCCATTATTATTATCTAGTGGAAATACATTATTAATTAGAAGAGGATGTGACTTAGCTGGTATTGTATTTAGAATACTTAATTTCCAAAAAACAAGTGTATTACCAGATTATGTTATTAAAGTAGTTCAAATGATGTTCCAACTTTTAAGTAGTAATGATGTTATTGCAAGAGTATCAGCTGGATCAGTAATTGGTATATTTGTAGATTATAATTGTTTGAGTGATTCATTTAAGTCAGTATTAGTTCAATTATTTGAAGTATTATTACAAACTATTAAAGTCTTTGAAAGTGAAAATGTAGTTGAAACATTATCTGAATTAATTAAAAGATTCCCAAATGAAACAAGACCACACTCAATTGACATTGTTAAAGCATTATTAGATGTATTAATTTCTATTGAAAATAATTATGGAGAACTTGATGAAAATGCACAAATAAATGCCACATTTTCTGCTTCATCTGCAGTTACTTCAATAACAGATATTATGAGAATGAATTCAACAAGTATTGAGTCAATGAATATTTTTATTGAATTATTCCTTCCATATATTAATAGATTATTAACATCTGATAGTTTATTTGCTAAGGATAGTCTTGAAAATACATTTTCTTTAGCATGTGAACTTGTTAGATTAGCACCAACACCTTTAAATCCAAGAATTCAAGACTTATTTACTATTATATTAAATGTTAGTTTAAATATGAGTTATGATGGATTAACAAGTGCAGAACCACTTATTACAGTATTTATTGCTAAGCAACCAGAATTATTAAATATTCCAACTAATATGCAATTAGTAATGAAATTAATTAATTCTGTTCTTTCTTCTCCTGACATTGATATTGAGGCATTATGCGTATTTAGAATTGCCCAAGCAGTATTGCTTTGTTGTGATGGACAAGTTGATACATTTGTTGAATTTCTTATTAAAACTACATTACCATTATTAAGAGACCCACAATCAATGTTAGCTTTACAAGGGACAGAAGTTATTTTATATTGTATTTTCTATAACACTAGATTGACTATTACAATTTTAAATTCATTAGGAATTCTTAATCAATTCTTTTCTTTATGGAATAGTTTTATTCCAAAGAAACTTCCTTCTCTTTCTGACAAAAAGATTACCATTGTTGCATTAATGTCATTAATGACACTTCCTGTTGATCAATTACCAGATTTTATTAAAAATAATTTAACTGGATTCTATAATACTGTTATTACATTACTTGTTGAAACAGAAAATCAAAGAAAGAAATGTGAAGAATATAAAATTAAAAATGCTCATAATTTATCTAAATCTATTAGAGATTCTACTATTCAAAATTTAAATGATGACGAAGATGTAGTTTATGAAGATATAAACAATTTAGAAAATTATGACTTTGATGATTATTTAGATGACTTTAGTGATGACATTATAGATAGTGATGAAGATGAACTTGTTAATTTAGATGAAAGAGAAATATTCTTTGAAATATTAAAGAGAGTAATGGAAGGTGATTTAAAGGATGAACGACATGCAGCTGCTATTAGAAATTTACCAGAAGGATTGAGAGGTGTTGTTCAAACAATTATCATTGAACAAACAGCAAAACAACAACAGAATTAATACAAAATGAATAAAAAAATTAATTTAAAGATTTTTTAATAAGAAAATAATTAATTGAAGTAATTAAGTTTAATATTAAATTATAAGAACTAAATAAAAATGAAGAATTATAATTATTAATTATTTATAATAAAAAAACTATAATTTTTAATGGTTATTTCTTTAAAATAAATTATAAAAAACAATAAGTATAACTTGATTTTTATAATATAATTGTTTTAGATATTTCCTTTTGTAACACACTATATTAGTATATTCATTTTGTATTAAAAGTTATTTTATCTAAAAAATTAAGACTTAATCATATAATTTATTTTTTTTTTATTCTCAATAAATATTAATTTTATGTTATTTTATTTACATTTTAAACAAAAGAAGAATATGTTGCATAATTACAACATATTGAAGAAATTGAAATAATCACTTCTCAAAATGAAGAAAATCCAATTGTGGATATATCTAATAATTAACTTTTTTTTTTAGATGTCGATGTTTTTTTTCTTGTTTATTGAGAATTTTTCTTTTTTAAAACTATTTCATATTAAATATGTTATGTCTTTTTATTTTATTAACTATTTATGATTGTATCTAAACAGTTGAAGTTTTTAACGTTTCAATCTCTTGATGTTTTCGTGATTGTTATGTATTGATTTATTTAGGCTTGGTATTATTTTTTAATTCTATCACCTTCTTTGTTCTTTTTTTTTATTATCAGATCGAAGGTGTCACTGCTGAAACACCACACAAACCCTAGTACAAATCAAGTATTGACTCTCTTTGTTATTATTTGATTATGATGTATTTGAATTAGAAATGGATAAGGGAATGCTATAATAAATACAATATATTATGATAGAATATTACATATTGTAATATAAGAATCTGCTGAAGTGTGGTTAAGATTAAAAGAAGATTATTCAAAGAAAGACTAAAAGAAGATTATTCAAAGAAAGACTAAAAGAAATATAGTCAAAGTAATATGATGTTAATGAAATGTTCAATTCTCTCATTCATAAAATATGGAAAAAGAAATTATTTAAAATTAAGACAGAAAATAAACAAAAGGCTAAAAAGAAGGAATAATCAGAAGATGTTTGAGAAGATATTAATAAAAAGAAATAAAGTAAAGAAATACTTTTTCTCATACTCCTACAAAAACTTAAAAGAATAGTTAAACAAAAAGATTACTCTTTTAAAACAAGCTCAGGAATGTTATTAGTCTTTACTGAACAAGAAAGAATATATGAAAAATCTATTACCATTTAATTAACTATTTCTTAATTAATAATATATTATTAATTATTAGGGTTTGATTTTCTTTAAAAAACAGACTAAATTATAGTTCAAATTATTTTGTTTCTATAACATATTGTATTTTATTTATTCATATTATTTTACTTTAAAAAAATCATTTGATGTTATTGAAAAACTAATTAGATTTAATTTTTTTATAACGTTTGAATGATTCTATCATTTTTTCTATTGAAATATATTCTCTTAGATTCTTTGATCTTCCTGTTATAACATCTTCTTTTCTTTTATTTATGAAAGATTCTATTAAGAAAAGTGTTATATAACCATTATGTTTTATTTGTCCAATACATTCATTAATTTTTATAGAATAAATTATTGGTTCATTTGGTAATTCTAACACACTCATTAATTGTTTATTCATTCCTCTCATAAACTCTGGATATTTAACATTCCCATATTTAATATGTACTACACAATCTTTTCTTTCTTTCCCTGTTATATTAATTCTATTAACATATGCTATGAATCCATATTTATTTTTTGATGAAAATGGGAATATAATTGTTTGTATTTCATTAATATTATGTGGTAATTGATATATATTATTATTCATTGAAAAACCACATAACATACATTTTGGTGGAACATTAAATGTTTTCATTATCTTCTCAAATTCATCTTCTGTTAATATACTATCATATTCATGTATTTCATCAGTATATATTTCAATTTGAGATAGTTGAGTGTTAGAATTTTGTGAATGAATTGATGACATTCTTTCTTCAATATTATCTTCTTCACATTTACTTTTTTCAGGAATTCTACACTTCTTCAATTGAAATGGAGCAATTTCATTAAAAAATACTTCTTTTGAAGTTCTTTTCCTAATATCAACTTTATTCCTTGGATGTACATTTGTATTATGTTTTATTTTATTTACAATTACATTTGCTATCAAAGTATAATTATTTGGTAAATCAATATTAGAAATTGATTTATCAGTCCAATTTACTTTAATTTCTTTTGATTTAAAAGCAAATGATGGAAGGTCATCATAATTAATAAGATATTTTAATGACATAGTTTTTCTTTCTTTCATCAAATGATAACAAGGCCATGCTACTTTAGGATTAACATTTCTTATTTGACAACTAATACAATAATGAGTGTCATCACATATTACATTATTATTTAATACGTTGTATTGAGATTTTAAGACTTTCTTTGAAAATTCAGTCAATAAATTAAAATGAGGAACATTTTTATCTATAATTTCATCAGGAAGATCAATCCCAATTATATTACTAAACATTGTATTTGCAAGTGCATAAATATTGTCTGTTAATAAATATAAAGGAAGATTATTATGATTAATTATTTTTTTTAAATGTCCAAAGAAACCTTCTACTCGATTTGTTGTAAAATCACGATACATTCCATATTTGATACATTCTGAAGGAATCCAATTTTCTTTGTGTTGAATTAAATCAATTAAACACATTAATCCTTTATTAATATTTAATTCTTTTGCTTCTTCTATCATTTGTTCAATATTATCTTGTAATGTGTTATGTCTATCTGTTGAATTTATAATATCACTTGTATCTGGTTCAAACAATTGATCATCATTTTCTTCTTCATCATTACTTTCATTATCACCATAACAAGTATTTTCATCATCATCACTATCTTCTTCTATATTTTTAATATTTTTCATTATAATACTTTTCCATGTTTCAATTAAATCATTTTCATTTAATTTCATATTCATTGTTAAATGAAATAATTTCATTATTATATGATCATTCTTAAAATATTTTTTCAAAGATCTTTCTATATGAATTCTACAGAAAAATAGTTTAGAATGAGGAAATAAAAGTTTTAAAGCATTGTATTGAGCAATGCAACGATCACAAACAATTATTTGAGGAGTATAATTTAAAATGTTATAAAGTTGATGAAGAAAGAATTTATATGAACATTCAGATTGATCAAATAAATAACCAAAAGAAAGAAGTTGGTTAAAAGAATTATCATCTTTTACAATAATAACATATAAATTTTTATTATATATATTTGTTTTAGCAGTATCATCAACATACCATTTTCTTTTACTATATTCCATTTGAGCCACTTTCTTATGAATGAATAACATAGAATGAATATACCCATTAGTGAAAGTATTTGTTAATTTAATAAATGACTCATTTTCAAAAAATGTTTCTGAAAGAAATATATTTTCTAAAATGTGATTTTTATCTTCTTCTCTCTGAATTTGTCTAAATTTTCTAAAAGGAATTTGAATATGAGGATGATTTGCAATAAATTTTATTATTTCATTATTTGCTTTTGGAATTAATTGTTTCTCACATTTTAACAAAGGACAAGTTTTTGATACAACAAAAAAATAATCTAAAGGATGTTTATGTTCATTAATTTCTATAATATTATTTTTATTATCAAATCCTAATCTTAAAATTATTTTATATTCACAATCTCTTCCTTTACACGTTTCCTTTGTTTTTCCTGAGTGATTACAATAAAATATAATTTTTATATTATTTTTATTTACTTTTGTAGATTTTGTATGGATAGGAAGAAATAAAATTATTATTAATTTTCTAAGGGTATTGATAACAGCATTTTTATCGTCTGAGTCATGAATTTTAATGTCATTGTGAATATATGTCTTAAATATTTCAATTCTTTTTTCATATTCTATTTCTTTTGGAACCATCAATTCCGATGCAAACATTTCTTTTTGTACAACTCTTAATTTTACTTGTTCATACCAATTTACTGTTTTACAAACATTCACCATCCTTTCTATAATTCTTCTTATTACTCCATTTAATTTATTCAAATCAATAATTAGTGATTCAATATTTTGTGAATATAATAATTTTGACGTTAAAATAAGTATTTCATCCATAATATCTTTGCTAATATAATGGTTGTATTGATTAATAATAACATTCATTGTTTCTTTAATTTCATTTTGAGCATCTTTCAACGTAGTTTGCTTGTAGACACAATTATTAATAACATTTGATAGATTTAAAGAGATTTTCTCAAAAATATGTTCAGTCATTCACGGATGGGTACGAAAATTAGCAAAGAAAAAATGCATCTAAATAATTTACAAAAAAGAAAAAAGATGCAAAAAAATTTGCATCCATAGAATTTTCCACTTTATTATATTTTGCTCCTAAAATAAAAATAAATAAAAAATATGATAAATACAGAATATATAAATATTTATGTTTATATTTTATAATCATTTGTATTCATTTTGTATGAAATATTAATGAAATAGATTATTTGATGATTCATATTTAATTATTTTTATTCTTTTTATTCTTTTATTATTATGTTATTTATCTATCGTATTTTTATATATTTATTTCTCTGTTTATATTATTTATCTATCATCTTCTTATTATCTATATATTATTATATTATTATATTATTCTTATTTTATGTTTTTTATGTTTATATTATTTAGATTTTCTTATTGTTATTCTTTTATATTTAAATGTATTTTATTATTTGAATATTCATCTTTATCATTTTTATATTCTTATCATTTTTATATTATTATCATTTATATCTATTTTTATTTTATATTTATTCTCTTTTGATTTATATTAATTTTATCTTTTATACTTTGATTTTATTATTATATCATTGACTATCATTTCTCATTTTATTTATCATTTATTCTTATTATTCTTTTGTTTTATATTCTATCTATGTTATATATTCATATCATTTTCATTTATATTTTATCACTTATTATATGTTACATGTTATAATAACATAACACATATGATTGAATATATAATAAACATCATGTTTAAATTATACATATAAATAATAAACATAAAAAAGAGTAAAATATTTTTCATTAATAAAATATTGTTAATCATTTTACACAATTAAATTAGACACTTATTATTGAATATTTCTAATTTTTACATTAAAAATACACTTTTTATTTCTTCTTTTATTATCTATTCTATTTTATTACTCTTTATCTTCTTCTACTTTTTCTTAGTTTCATAATTTTATTTTTCATCACCTTCTACTTCTTATTTCTTTTTATTCTTTTATATCTTTCTCTTCTTTTTCCATTATTTGCTTTTTTCGTTGCCCTTTTTAAGAAATAATCAATTAGTTTAAGTAGCATGAACCAGTAGTTTCATTATAATCATAACTTACTATACTGAGAACATTAGAGAAAGTGAAATCACCTAAGATTCTTTGAAGACCAAATGGCATATTATTTAATAGGATCTGTAGATAATCATTATATTCAATAGAAACAATATGATGATTAATAGTAAGTGAGGAGTAAGCATTTTCTCCAAATAAGAAGAATGAGTCATTAAGATTAAATGACAAACTACTTTCTAATGGAACTTGAATTTGACTCTCACTTGTATTACAGTACATAATAACGTCATATTTTGTTTTCTTATCATTAATTAGAAATAAGAATCCTATTCCATATATCTTTTCATTAGTATTATCATTATTATCATTATTATCATTATTAGATAATTTAACATTAAATCTTAGGTCATAATTAGCCTTTGTTCTAAATAATTCAGTCTTTAAACTAGTCATATCAACATTAATTTGAGAAGTATCACTATTCTCTACTATTGCTGTAGCACTTTTCATATTAGTAGGATCAAATTGAAGAATCTGATCTACTTTATAGACAGTAATATTACCAGCATAATCATTTATATCAAAGTTCTTTGCTGTAGGTTTTGGAGTAAGTCCACTTCTTCTTGTGGATGCTATTGCACGTCTTGATCTCATAATTTTTCTTAGTTTTAGTGAAAAATAAAGAAAGAAAGAATAAGAGAACGATTAATTAGATTCTAGTAATGATATTATTATCATTGAATCTTTATCTTATAAGAGACTAAAAAAGACATAAAAAGATAGTTACAAGAACAACTATCATTGAAAATAATGGATTCATCATTTCAGCACTATTATCAACATGATTATAATTATAGTCATAATCTAAATTTAATCCTGGTAATTCTTCTTTTGAAGGGTCAATATAAAAATAATTTTTCTGAGTATTTGCAAAACAAATATCTAAATCATTAGTGAAGTTATTAACAAAGTCTAAACAATATGAGTCAGAGTATTCACCACCATAAATTGTATTATTTACTATAGTGATATTTAACCATCTTCCATTGTCAGGAAAACATAATTTCTTTTTAGAAAAAATAGTTTGTAAGTTTTTACATCCTTGGTCATGATATGTATAAATGAGAAGATATGAATTCCTAATTTCATCAATAGTAGAATAATTAATTTGAAGTGTACGGTTTTCAATGGGAGCAAATGCATTTTTACAATTCTCCATAGTACTGTAATAAGTAAAATTCATATGTGTATTATTGTTATAAAAGAAATAAGCAGCATAATCACTAAAATCAATACAACTATTAAGAGGATAATATTCAGTTTGATATTCATTGTTAACATATTTAAAGTAATTGTATGGCTTATCCTCATTTATAGAATTAAGTACATTGTCTTGTGCATCAATAATATCATAGAGATATCTTCCTTCAACATTAATAACTGTTAAAATAATAAAAAAAAACATTGAACAAATCTTAGTGGTAATCTATCTTATTTAGTTTAAGGGTATTATTAGATGGGTACGAAAATTAGCAAAGAAAAAATGCATCTAAATAATTTACAAAAAAGAAAAAAGATGCAAAAAAATTTGCATCCATAGAATTTTCCATTTATTATATTTTGCTCCTAAAATAAAAATAAATAAAAAATAAAAAGTATGATAAATACAAAATATGTAAATATTTATGTTTATATTTTATGATCACTTGTATTCATTTTGTATGAAATATTAATGAAATAGATGATTTGATGAATCATATTTAATTATTTTTATTCTTTTTATTCTTTTATTTATATGTTATTTATCTATCGTATTTTTATATTTATTTCTCTGTTTATATTATTTATCTATCATCTTCTTATTATCTATATATTATTATATTATTATATTCTTCTTATTTTATTATTTTTATGTTTATATTCTTTAGATTTTCTTATTGTTATTCTTTTATATTTAAATGTATTTTATTATTTGTTTATTCATCTTTATCATTTTTATATTCTTATCATTTTTATATTATTATCATTTATTCTCTTTTGATTTATATTAATATTAATTTTATCTTTTATACTTTGATTTTATTATTATATCATTGACTATCATTTCTCGTTTTATTTATCATTTATTCTTATTATTCTTTTGTTTTTTTCTATATTCTATATCATATATTCATATCATTTTCATTTATATTTTATCACTTATTATATGTTATAATAACATAACACATATGATTGAATATATAATAAACATCATGATGAAGTTATACATATAAATAATAACATAAAAAATAATAAAATATTTTTCAATAATAAAATAATATTAATTATTTTACATCATTAAATTAGACACTTTTATTGATTATTTCTAATTTTTACATTAAAAATACACTTTTTATTTCTTCTTTTATCATCTCTTTGTGATTTATTATTTTTATATTCTTCTTCTACTTTATTTTTATTCTTTTATATATTTTTATTCTTTTTATATTATTTGTTTTTCGTTGTTTTTCTATTTCTTTCTTCTATTATTTATCAATTTTATATTCATTTATTCTTTTTATTTCTTTTTTATTAATTCTTGAGTATTGTATATTTCTTTATTATTTCATTTGTGTATTATCAAAATATATGTTTTATTGATTTTATGTTGAATAAAATATTGAATAAATCAATATTTTCATTCTTAATTATTCATTCTTTATTCTGAAATGTTGTGTATATTTATTATATTAAATGAATATGATGAATGAATATCAATATTATTGTTTATTTGATTTTAAAAAATAATAAATGAATATGAAATAATAAATGAAATAAAATAAAGAAGACAATGAAATGATAATGAAATAGAATAATCTAATATTGAACAAATTAAATAAAGAATATATTGAATATATCATTATTGTTACTTTATTATTTATTATTTCAATTATTAAATATTAATAAATTATTATTCATGAATATTTAATTGATTGATATTTTACAATTTCATTTTCATTTTATTTAATAAATGAAATATAAATAATAAATGAATGAATAATAATGTAATATATGAAATAATAAAAAGAAAGATAAATAATAAAGAAATATGATGTATTTAATATATAATATAATTTATTATCAAATATAATAATAATATCAAATGATGATTTATTTTTATTTCAAAATATTTTGCATC